TGTATAGACCCCTGGATCTATTCCAATGGAAGATTTTTTCCGATGGTATATGCCCTTAGATCTATTCTGATGGAAGACTTATCCGTTGGTATAGACCCTGAGAAATCTTAAGAATTTTTCCGTCTGTATAAACCCTCATATTTACAGATAGATAATTTCAATGATATACCGACAGCTTTTTCCATCAATATAAATCTTTTTTTTTTTGTTTTACAATTGATATTTCAATTTTAGTTTATTTTATTTTATTTATAATGTTATTGATAATTCAATTTTATTTATAATTTTTTGTACCTATAACATGATTAAAAACAATTAACCACCGTTGTTTTCTGTCATATGAGCATCCAAAATTACAATAATTACAATTTTTATTAATTTGTATAAAAAATCAGCACAAAGCAGAACTCCAATCGACCAACTCTCAAACAAAGAACAATTAACAATATGAAATTTGAAGAGTATAACAAAATTAAAATAAATCAAAGAAAAATTAGTAAGAAAAGTGGGAAACCCGATTGAATAACGACGCAATTTTCTATCACCAATGGATAAACGGATGATGGATTGATCATCTTGTGCTAGATTACATATAGCTGCAAGCAGCCTATCAAATTCCAAACCAAGCATATAAGATTGTGTGCAAATGAAAATAGTGCAATGTTATACTCTTCGTATGCTGATGGGCAAGCACATCCGTTATACATGGTGCACATATGCTTTCTTCGTCTTGAAGAGTGTTTAAAGAGGAAGCCCCAATGAGCTTCGTCTTGAAGGTTAGTGGTGAAAGAACATCCGTTATACATGGTGCATGTATGCTTGCCCATCAACTGAGGGATCAGAACATTCGGTTTCAATGTCAGAAAAGCCTTGAAGTTTCCATCCGGTCTTCGTATGCTGTTTCCATAAGTCCTCTCTGTTTTACTCTGTTTTCATCATGTAAAACAGAGTCCCCAAAAACAAATTATTGATGACTAGTCTCCTACAATGTTAGAACAAATCAACCAAATCAACCACTCCATTTCAGAATATTATGAGTCCCCAAAAACAAATTTAAGTAAAATTAAAAGAAATCGAAAGTAATGAACCACTCATACATGAAGACGAAGAAAGCACTGGCAGGCCTCTTCGGCTCGTTTGGATCCTTCACAGCCTTCTTAGTTTTTTTTCCAACCGCTGCATTGTTGCTTTTCAACCTAACGAAAAAAATTCCAAAAAAAAAAAAGACATCGGTAAACAGAAGAGGCTAACACTGAAATCTGCAAAGCAATCGCTATGATATAAAAAAAATATTGACTCAGAAGTTACAACAAAGCAAAGCTCGCTTGCTGTCAGTTTCCTTCGAATCAGCCTTCGATCTAGCACCTTTTCATGGCAAATCCTGCACCAAAAACAGTCAAAATCAATGAGAATCGTTTAAAGATTGGTCGGAAGGGTGCAAACATGACTAAGTCACTACAGTGAGTTACTTGAGAGTTAGGGTGTTTGGAAGAGAAGGAGACGCGAGCGAGAAAGAGAAGAAATAGACAATTTGATTTGGTGTGGTGTGGATCGTGAAATAGGCAAAGGGGGAAAATAAATGGACAAAAAATTGAGTCTGCGCTTGGGCGGGATTTCAAAACTTTTTTCCACCACGTCAGTAATCCGCGTGCTTTTTTGCCATTCACGCGGTTTAACAATTTAGAGGTTACTGTATGCTTCATTTGTGAAAAATATAAGGGATAATATTTTTGTATAATTATATTTTA